CTATTGACGAATGAACATCCCAAGGCACACTTATATGTTTTATCGAATTGTGAAGAGAAAAATCCTTACATTAAGTAAGTACTATGTCAACTTGATTATGTATTGTTTCTAGTTAGTTTTTAAAATTTTCTAATTCATAATTTACAATAATAGGATATTTGATGACTTGATGATAAGAGAATTTGTGAATGTAAGTGATAAAAATTGAAGAAAGCATGTGTGCAAGATTCCATAATGGTTAAGATAATTTGTAAGTTTAGAGCATAATAGTATATATGAATAGAAATAATATTTTCATATAATTAAAACAATAATCAATTTGAATATTTTACGATTAGATAGGTTACAAAACAAAATAGCAAAATTAATTGTTATATAGTTAAGATAGTTTATGGCCCCGAACACATAATTAAGTGTTTCAAAGGTTACTTTGTGAATGGTTTTAAGTTTTATACAGTTAACTATGGCTAAAGTTGAAGGATGAAGAATTATAAAGTATGTGTGAAAGAAAGTTGTTACAATGATTATGAGTGTGACTTTTATGGTATCTTGGAAGATATTATGGGGTTAGAGTATTTTAGAGCAGGGAATAAGGTTATACTTTTTAAATGTCATTGGTTTGATATGGAGAAAAGAGTAAGGGTAGATCCCTATCATGGTTTTATTGAAATTAAACATAATTTAGTCCTTGCTATCAATGAACCATTTGTCTTAGCTTTGTAAGTCCATCAAGCTTCTTATACAAGCTATCTTTCTAGAAAAAGAGATCAAAATAATTGGTGGGCAGTCTTAAAAAAAAGAGGCTAAGAGTATATATTATGTAAGTAATAATGATGGAGATAAAGAACAAACAACTAATTTAAAAGAAGACGTGTACCAAGAAGTTGAAGTTTCTATTCCACAAAACATTATTATTTTAGAAGAACTTGATAATCCTACAATTCTTGTTACTGGTGATTATAAAGAGATAGATTATGAACAAACGATTTAAGCAAAAAAATATGAAAAAGATGATGATCATGATGAAACACATAAGTTTGCTCATTCTAGCTATGATTGATGTATTAAGTATGACTTATAGTGCTATATATAATATTTATTCGATGTAGTCAATATATGTAACATTAAATATAATAGTTGATTTGGGCTATTTTAATTATAATGTTTTGATATGCTTGTTTTTATATATTTTGCTCATTTCATCTAATATTCCAATACTAAAGTAATATTATATATGTTTATTTTGTGCTTTTAAATACTTATGAAATGATTATGTTCTATATAACAGATATGATGGGATGTCGTGCAAAAAGCTTTATTCACCAAGGTGGTGTTATAGTAAGATCGATGAAAGATGAATCACACATCAGATCATTAGCAGCACTGATATAGCATGATCCCCAACATAGATATTTTTTAGCCCAAATATAACATGATCAATGATACGAGTTTTATTTAGTACCGATATAGCATGATTCATGATACATGTCATTTTCACGATCGATATAGTTCTTTTCACCACCGATGGAGCATGATCCACTATACGGGTCAATTTCAGCACTGATGATGGATAATCCATCAACGAATCATAACATTAATCTATCATTGGTCAACGAACCACCACTTATAGAAGAAGAAGGTACGATAACAAGGTAGAAGACTAGAGGAGCAAGCAAATAATTATTGACTTCGTCAGATCTAAACAAGGGGTCGTGGATTACTCCGCTAGGAGAAATGTATGATATACTTTTTATAATTAATTTTTTTTATTTGTTTTTAAGGAATTTGTGCAATTTAAATAATCTTACTAACAAATGGATATTAGTAATTGTTTTGAACAATTAACGGTTAGTTCTTTCAAGAATAATTCAAGCGAATTTTATTGATCTTGGTCTACGTGGGGTAAAGTTCCTGCACTAGCAAAGTTTATGATGTTTGATAAATTTAAGGTAGTAATTAGATATTTATTATATATATATTTGATTTGAATGAAAAGTTTAAATTCTTATCAAACATTTATTGTATTTCACTATTAGATATGTTAGAAAAAAATGTTAGTAGACTGAGTCAAATATGCTTTTATTCAACAGGTATGGAATAATATTACCAAGAAATGATTGAAAGATCTATCGTCCGATGAGAGGAAATTGGTAATAAAAGAACATAAAGTTGATAACATCATACAGTACAAAGGGATAGCATGAAGGTGGATTATAGCTCCAATTTAAGATGCTCTTATGGACAATGTATGAAACACTTCAAAATGAAAAAATATCTCTACCAAAGCCAAATAAAATCATTGGACACAAAAAAAAAAGAACTTTTATGAAGCACACTAACAACTCAGTTACGTTTCCTATTTATAAAAAGATAATGGTATGATATTTTTCATGAGTTATTTTTTCATTAAATGTCAATTTTATATAAATTGCATTATTACATATTTCATTGAATGTATCTAAATGAATGTAGTCACTAAAGTTGCAACAAGAACCCACCTTTACAGAAGTCTTCAATTGCATTCACAAACATTTAGAAATATGTGGTAATTTCATTGACAAGAAGTTTAAAGTTGTCGGTGTATGTGACTTTCCAATGATTTTGTGAATACTTTCAAATTGTTGTATTACTTTATTAAAATAAATAATAAGTTATGTCTTTTGATATGCAAAAACTTAGTGAAAAATAAAAATTATTGTGTAAATAGCTTTGTGATTCTAGTTGTGTATTATGATTATTGATTAACTATCTTTATAGTATATGCGATGAGATCACATTTGTGAAAAAGTAAAAAACATTGCTTATTTTGTGATTGTTGATGAAGTTGATTATGTAGTAATTGAAAGCTTAGTCATTTTAGCAAATTTAGTATTGAACTAAATAGTATTTTATGTATATTGAGATGAGATCAATGTTGTGAAAGGTGAAAACTATAGTATATTTTATTTTGTGATTCTGGTGGTGTATTATGTTGTTGAAGAAATATATAGTTGACAATATATTAATTGAAAGACCAAATATTGCAGGAAATTCATTTTTGAACTATATAGTTTATTGTGCTTATTGAGATGCAATGGCTTTGTGAAAAGTAAAAACTATTGCATATTTTACTTTGTGATTCTTGTTGTATATTACAATTGTTGATGAAGTAAATAGTTTAATAATTAAAAACCTAAATATTACAAGACGAATGGTATTGATTTGTGTTGGAATGATAATGTACTTGTGTTGGAATGATCATTGTTTTAAACTTTTTGTAAGAAAATTATTCTATTGCATTATCTAAAAAATATGGTGAAGACTCTTCCAATCATTTAGATTTTTATCCACAGGCATGGATTGAAATTATTAGAGGGGTTGAAGTTATGTGCACTAATGTATATGGTTTTGGATCTCTAGATAGATATAAGGAACTATTTTACTCAACCTAGGCCACTGTTGTAGTAGCGACATCTCACCTTGTTTGTGATCTGTCATCATTGCCTCCTCAGCCTTCTCAACCTCAGATACAAGAACAGGTTGATGAGTTGAAGATCGAGTTTAAGACCAAGTTGAGGACTGAGTTGAAAACTAAGTTTAGGTTTTTCATGGATTAGATGATATAATTAATGGGGTCTAAACAATTTTCGCTAACACAATTTTGTAAACCTGATGACGATAACACCGATTTTGGATCAGGAGATATAGCAACACAATGAGTTCTTGTTGAGGACTTTTGTGGATGTTATTGATATTTTTATGGATGTTATGAATATTTTTTAGTATTATATTTTATGGATGTTAGAGATGGTATGATTTAGATTTATTTAATGGTTATTATGTGGATTTGTTATTTTTATTAATAATAATATAAATAATAAGTTTTTTCAATAATTACATCTTTTTAATTTTAATTTACAGGTTTTTAAAAATAATTATAAATAAAATTAATTAAATTATGGATGAAATTATAATTTTATCGACGAGATTTTGTTATTACTGATAGAATTTCATTGTTATCAACGGGTTATTGACGGATTTACTAATAAAATTTACCATTTAGTGATCAATTTTCAATCAATTATCAACGGATTACTAATGGATTTTACCAATGAAATTTAGCAATGGAATTTACCGATAAAAATTTTATTGATGAAAAAATTTCGTTGATAAATTCCATTGGTAATTTCTAACGAAAATTTAATTTTATCGATAGAAAGGTATAAGCAACTTACTTATTACTGAAAGAAACTTTTCATTGGTAATTCCATTAGTAAAAGTATTACTAATGAAAATTTATCTTTTATCGATGAAAATTTTCGTCAATAAAAATGTTTTTGCTGCTGAAGAATATACGAAAATCCAAAAATAAGACTTAGGAAATAATAATTTTTGAAAAAAATTCTGGATATAAAAATAATTATTGGACTCATAAGGTTTTTGAAAATTTTAAAAATTTTCAATATATATGAAAATTAATTAAATATATAAAATATTCAAGTACACCATATCTTTCTATACACCTAATACATAATTAATATAAATATTAAATGTTGCAAATATCTATTATTTTTTTAATTTTTTATTAAATTTTTTGTGAGTCAATTGATCAATATAAAATTGCAAATATTAAAATGTATACATATTTTAATTTTTAAAAGAAAGAACAAAATTATAGGATAGATTAAATTAGTAATTGTGAAATATTCAATTGTATTTTATGAATAAAAATCCTAATAAAAATTGAATTAATATCTAACAAATTATTACAATTATATTTATTTATAAAATATATTTTGATTATTTAATTTATATACATTAAAATAAAAAAATAAATATTAATAAATATAGAAAAAATGGGCTAGTGTTATTATTGTGATAACATTCACAATTTTTATTGAGCATGAAAAAAGAAAAAAAAAGTAGAGATATTAATTAAAGTTTATTTTTTGAAATTAAAAGTGGCTTTGGTAGAACAAAGCGAAAGCATTGCCGAAAGCAATTTGCCCTGAGAAGCCGCAAACAACTTACAGACGGACTGACTTTAAACGACCGAGAACCGGACACGAAAGCGCAACACTTCTAAGCATCTCAAAATTCGCCACATGTCATTTTTGCCACTTGGCCTCTTCTTATAGGCCAATTTCCTTCTACTTTCCACGTCGGTCACCCGTCCACTATAAAAATCATAGCCCAGAGTCAAGAAACTTCGTCTTTTCTCTCCATTTCTTACAAAATTCAGATCCTCTCTTCCAAAAAATTGTAATTCTTATGAGGAATATGTTATTCAGATTAGGGATATTCTTATCTATACTATCGTTGTTCCTAATTAAGTCGGAATCCGCTGTTTCAAGCATAGATCTAGGTTCAGAATGGCTGAAAGTCGCCGTCGTGAATCTAAAACCCGGCCAAAGTCCAATCACCATTGCCATCAACGAGATGTCGAAGAGAAAATCCCCAGCCTTAGTCGCATTCCAATCGGAAACTCGCTTGCTTGGAGAAGAAGCAGCCGGAATCGTCGCTCGTTATCCCGACAAAGTCTTTTCCAATCTTCGAGACATGGTTGGGAAGCCCTATCAAGACGTCAAGCGATCCGCCGATTCAATGTACCTTCCGTTCGATATAGTAGAAGATTCTAGAGGTGCCACGAGGATTCGAGTTTCGGACGACGCTAGTTATGCCGTTGAGGAGTTGTTGGGGATGATTTTGAAGTACGCAACGAATTTGGCGGAGTTTCATTCGAAAGTGACGGTTAAGGATGCGGTAATTTCGGTGCCACCGTATTTTGGACAAGCAGAGAGGAAAGGGTTGCTGACGGCGGCGGAATTGGCCGGAATAAACGTGATTTCGTTGATAAATGAGCATTCGAGTGCGGCATTGCAGTATGGGATCGATAAGGATTTCTCGAATGGGTCAAGGCATGTGATTTTTTATGATATGGGTTCGAGTAGTACTTATGCAGCTCTTGTTTATTATTCTGTTTATACTGCTAAGGAGTTTGGGAAAACTGTTTCGGTCAACCAATTTCAGGTAAAAGACCAATATATATATATAATATATATATATATCTTCAATAGAAACTTCCGTGCAATTTACAAATTTAGTAAATTCTTTGTAATTTAATTTCACGATTTTCTTTATTCAGTTAAGCATCCGACTTGAAATCAATTGGCAGTAGTTGTTAATATGTTAATATGTCATAGGGATTGGAATGAATGCATTTGTTAGGAATAGAATAGCAGTAGTTGAAATTCTGTAATCAAACCAGTGAACTAGATTGCTCACTTTGTCCTTTATTCTGTTAATTTGTGATTCTATAATTAGAAATACCAAGAGGCTAGAAACTTAGATTGCTCTTAAGCTTCAATGTTCAAAAAATAACAAAAAAAAAAAAAAAAGATAAAAGATTACAAATTGTTGCAATTTCATCATTGTAATCCATATGTTTGTTCATTGTTGTTGGCTTATGTTTTCACAACCCCATCATTTTAGGAAATGCTTTTCAATTGATAGCTCTTCCTAAAGGAAGAGTGCTCCTGCATCTTCATTATGCAATAATGTTCAAAAGGTTCCTCTAGTCTATTCTTTTATAACCTTGCTGAAATAAACATTAGAAAGAATAGTTATCCTCTACTATATAGGTAAACTAGTTATTGTAACTAAATAAATAATGATTAGCCTAATATTCTAGCTGGCACATCTCAACTTGTTTTGAAAAGTTTCGAGGAGGCTGTTTTTTTGACTGCATGAACACCTTCAATGATGAGAAGAAGTTGGGTCCGATTGAGTTTAAACTTTTAAAAAATTTGTTAAAAGATTACAAATTGCTGCAATTTCATCATTGTAATCCATATATTCATTGTTTCCACTGAACAAGAACCTTTTTCACAACCCCATCACTTTTGGAAATGCTTTTCAACTGATAGCTGTTCGTAAAGGAAGAGTGCTGCATCTTCATTATACCCAGGATAATATTTAATTGTGCTTTATATTACCCTTCAGATTACTGTAACAAACTGGCTGGTATCTATTGTTCAGATCGGTTGCTCTCTTTAATATCACATTGCTCCTTAGACGTCTATTATTATCATGATAATTAACATTTAATATCTTTGTCAGGTGAAGGATGTTAGATGGGAGTCAGAACTAGGAGGACAGAACATGGAATTACGGCTGGTGGAGTACTTTGCAGATGAGTTCAATAAACAAGATGGAAATGGGGTTGATGTCAGGAAGTATCCCAAGGCAATGGCTAAATTGAAGAAACAGGTGAAGCGAACAAAAGAAATTTTAAGTGCAAATACAGCAGCTCCGATATCTGTTGAATCTCTCCACGATGATAGGGACTTCAGGTAGGTAGCTTTTCAATCATCTTATCTAATTCTCATTACATGCTTCCAACATTTCATGTTCCTGTTATTGTAAAGATTTGTTTATTTCTGTTCCATGAAAGAAAACTTGAGGTAGAGTACGACTCTGTAACAATGTATCCAGGAAAGTTTATTCTGTAAAGGCTCTTAGTTTCTGTTTCCAAGTCATTGTGCTTTGAGGTAGCTTAGGAATTCCTTTTGTGAACCAACTAGCTACTAGAAATAACTGAAAAATTTTGAGTGACTGTCTGCAAGGTCCTTCTTAAAATGTAAATTTATGATTTAACCCAAGCTTTGAGATATTAGATGTTTCTCTAAAACTGTTGATTACTCTTAGCTGCATGCAGGTTTAGCTGCTTCAATACTAACTTATCTGGAATCAACATTTGCTTCTTCTTGCTTTCAATATTCTCTTGTAAACTTCTTCATATTTCTATCTTATTAATGCCAGGATATCACGTAACAGTCCCTGGACAATTTAAAATAGGCATTGCTTTCTTTTACCTTCCCCTATAGGGGCATTGATCATTCCTTCAAAATGTATTATAGTTTCTGTGCAATTTGTGTAAATGATAAGAAAAAAGCAAATGTCTATTACTTGTTCTTTACAATTTTAGTACTTGTGTTTTGTATCTCACCATAATCAGTTGGCTGTCCAGGACACTAATGATGATTGTGCTCATTACTTTTCCTTGTTCAGTGCTCCCTAAGTATTTTGTCGTACCATTTTCAACAAGTCCTTATGAGTTATATTTGTTTTGAATTTTCTTGTCAAATAAATGATGGGACAGCTAGGTGTCTATGTTTTATGGCTGCTTTTGGAGTTGAATCATGAATGCAATAGAGAAAATTGAATGAAGAAGAAAAAGGTTCTAAGATAGAAAGGGTGCCTTAGTAGTTATGGCTAAGGTTGACCCCATCACACAATCACAGATAAGCTGGTAATCTTTGGGGGTAATACATGTGCTTGTCTGAAGCTGGCTTTGTTCATTCTTTTTCCTTCCATTCAGGAGCACCATAACTCGTGAGAAATTTGAAGAGCTCTGTGGAGACCTTTGGGATAAATCTCTTATACCTGTGAAAGAACTGCTTAAGCATTCGGGTTTGCAAGCTGATGATATATATGCCGTGGAGTTGATTGGAGGTGCTACTCGAGTGCCAAAGTTGCAGGTTTGTACTCCATTGTCTCCTACTTTTGCATGTATGCAGAAACAAATCATCTATGAAAGTATAGAAAGAAGGTTTCCTTGTCTCATGTAGAATTATCTTTGTTTCCCTTGTCTATTTAGAGGTTCACATATCTGTACCTGTGGAAGGGCTGATATAAGATCTATTTATTCTTGTTTCCTTTGACCTGGTTGAAATGAAGTCCTGTTCTTCACATGTTTGTATTTAAAATAAGACTTTCCAAATACCAAAGCAAATCTAGTCTTGTAAATCTTGGTGAAAATTTTACATGAAATTCCTGGGACCATTTTCTAGAATTATTTTTTAGCTGGTTGGAATTTTAATGCCATGTTAGGAAGCCTCCATTTCCTTTAATATGTTAATTGCATGCAGATAAAATACATAACTTGTGTTTGGAGGAGTTTCTAACATGAAATGAAATTTTCTAATTTTGCAACCAAATACACTGCTATCTAGTTTTCTGTAGCTATAACAAGAGATATTCTTATTTTTCATTTTTCTTGTTCTGTTTGTATCTATGTACAATTGTACATTTAAGATCTTGAAATATGTTCATAGACAAAAGTTATAGACCACTTAGTTCACCTTGCACTGTTCACCTCCCACCCCAACCCAGCCCCCCTCCAAATAAAAAAAGATGCATATTGGTATAAATTCAGAGACCTGCATCATAATAAGCTATACGTCATGGCATTGAAACTCAATTAGTAATCAGAAAGCTGATCCTGCCAAAGGGGTTTCTGCTTTGTAATTCCTTAGATTTAATTATGATTAGTTGATGAAAGATAACGTGAAAACAAACTCCCTTGTTCCTTTACAGGTTAAGCTCCAGGAATATTTTGGAAGGAAAGATCTGGACAAACATCTAGATGCTGATGAAGCTATTGTTCTTGGTGCAGCACTCCATGCTGCCAATTTAAGTGATGGAATTAAGTTGAATCGTAAGCTGGGAATGGTTGACGGTTCTTCTTACAGTTTTGTCGTTGAATTAGATGGGCCTGATCTTTCAAAAGATGGGGCCAACAGGCTTTTATGGGTGCCAAGGATGAAAAAACTTCCCAGTAAGGTAAAATAATGTGTTGTTTGAACCCATGTTGTAGAGCTAGTGGGGATAAAAAGACTACTCATCTTCTTTGTAGTTTTGCTAATGGTAATGTCTAACTTTCCATTTACAGATTTTCAAGTCCTTTAATCATAGCAAAGATTTTGAAGTGTCACTTGCCTATGATCATGAAGATCTTTTACCTCCAGGGCTTTCCTCCCCCGTATTTGCTCAGTATGCAGTGTCTGGTTTAACAGATGCAGCTGAGAAGTAAGGATCTATGCAGATATCTGTCCTATTTCAATGCTTGTGTTGTTAATGGTTTGGTTTAGTTTCTTTTGAAAGGGATTTTGAAATCAAATAAAAGTTCTGGTATCATAATTTTTGAAACAAATGAAAATGAAGTCAGGCATGGAAACGTTTTCAGTCTATAGTTCGCTTTGGATTCATTAATTTATACTTTTTCGGGTGGGAGGGTCAAATATATACTCTAACTATTTCAATCTAATTTTTGTCTTATTCAAAATTGATACAAATTCTTTGAAATAATTATTGCATTAATATATTAAAAAATCTCAAATAATTCAAATGAAATAATTAAATTCCATACTTACATAAATGATTAATAGCTTATCTCTTATGCAAATAAAATTTCAGCTTTTGGTTTCTTCTGATCTCACATATAAGGAAGCTCAAAGTGAACCAAACTAAACTATATTTTTCTGATTACAAACTGAATAATCGACAATTATGTTTTTTTTTTTTTTTGGGCCAAAGATCAGTTATGGTTATTATTAATATTATTAATTAATTAATAGCAAACACCTACTCGATGCTTTATTACAATTTGCTTTTAGTCTTTCTGCAAGAAATAATCAAGTCCTTTTATTCATCTGCGCCTTGTGTAGGTATGCATCTCGGAATTTGTCTTCTCCCATCAAAACAAGTGTGCATTTCTCTCTTAGTAGAAGTGGAATTCTTTCTTTGGATCAAGCAGAGGCTGTTATTCAGATATCAGAATGGATAGAAGTTCCTAAAAGGAATTTGACCGTAGAGAATACAACCAGTGCTTCCCCCAGTGTATCTGTTGATGTTGGTACTAAAAACACTTCTGAAGAAACTAATAATAGCTTGGATTCAGATGGTGGGATTAGTAATGCACCTAACAGTAGTGTTGGAGAACCAAGTATGATGGATCTTGGTACAGAAAGAAAACTAAAGAAGCGGACCTTCAAAATTCCACTGAAGGTGTAAACAAGTGGACTATGTTAATTTCTTCAATTAATTACATGCCATTATTTGCCTTGCCTTTGCTAGAAATTATTTCTGTATTAGCTCATTATTGTTGCATATTTTCTTATCCATTTTCCCATTTACTGTCATTGTAGATAGTGGAGAAAACAGTGGGACCTGGAATGTCTCTTTCAAAAGAATCTTTTTCTGATGCTAAACGTAAACTGGAAGCATTGGACGTGAAGGATGCAGAGCGGAGAAGAACAGCAGAGTTAAAAAATAGCCTTGAAGAATATATTTATGCTACAAAAGAGAAGGTGCAGAATTTTTTTTAATTATTTAATTGTTGTATTTGCATTTCTGATGATGGTTTTTCTTTTCTTTTTTTTTTTATGTATATTTGATTTAAAATGAACTGTTCAGATTTTCTGCATAACCAGTTCTGCACTTGTTTATTAATTTTCATTATGTTTGGTGGATTATATGAGTGGTCACTGGTCAGTTGTTGGCATTCAGTCGTTCTTTTAGAGAAGAAAAAGTAATTTTAGTTAATCTGATATCATATTAATTTAATATTTTGTTGCATTATTTGCTTATACCAGCTTGAAACATCTGAAGACTTTGAAAAAATATCTCCAATTGATGAACGCCAATCTGTCATAAAAAAGCTTGATGAGGTTAGTCCCATCTTTTCTTAGATTGTGTAGTCAATTTACTCACATTAAAATTTAAACGTATGGCATTTTTATTGTTTCAGGTTCAAGAATGGCTGTATACTGATGGTGAAGATGCAACTGCCACGGAGTTTCAGGAACACCTCAATTTGTTAAAAGCTACTGCTGACCCAATATTTTTCCGGTATCCTCTATTTTCTTGTTATTTATTTTTTCTGTTTTGGTTGAGTCAACTATATTCTGAATGATCATACAATACAAGGGCTTAAGAATGGTGGACTAAAACTTTGATAAATGTTTAGATTTAAAGAGTTGTCTGCACGACCAGCAGCAGTAGAAGTTGCTCGACAATACCTTACTGAATTGCAACAGGTACTTTTTTTAGGGCCAAAGAATTGCAATAGGTACTTCAGATTGTTTATTTGTAACATGCTTATTACTAAATGTTATCTAGCAACTTATGTGGTTTAGTCCTTACTGCTCAGGGGGTAGAGATCTCAGGTTTAAATAACTAATTCCCTAATCCTCCTTGTACTTCTTTGATGCACCAAATATGGATACCAAAGGTTATCTGATTTTACATGGGCTGTTGGATGGAAATCTGGTGAAAAGCAAGATGGAGAAATAGGGAGAGAAATAGGCAGAAAAGTGGAAGAATCAGAGAACCAGAGGAGGAAAGGTAGAAAGAATAGAGAAAGAATGAGGCAGAGATTAGATAGGAAGAATAAGTGGAGAGAAAATCTGTTCACAGTAACTTAATATATGAATAATTCATTCTCCCAAGGTGCCAAGAAATTACCAACTCAGTATTTTTAGCTTGCGACCACAAACTCTAACTTAATGGCAAAATACCAAATATAGCCATAAATGGTTAAATAATTCATTAAGGGGGTCCTAATCATTACCTTTTCTTAGTTAATTCTATATGATGGATCCTTTGGAGGGGTCATTCTCCTTAAATTCCAAGACACCAAACTCAGATCCATAAAACCAAATGACATCCTATATTCCCATTTTATTGACTTTCCTTCTTCAACTCCACTGTAGTGATGAACATAAATCATGACCTTGTTAATTCTCTACTAGTGTCACCAGCCTTTATTTGTCTACTGCTACACTTCCTTTCTAGGGTCACAGATTTGAATATTCTGTTCTTCCCAGTTTTCACAGATAATTTGAAAGCTTGGTCTTCAGACCTCAGAAAAGAGAACCCCACGGCCTGACTCACCAATATGACTTTCTTTTAAAAATGTTAGAAATTGAGGCATTCTTTACATTCTGCTCTTCTACCCCCTCAGAATGTACTATCTTTTTTCTTTCAACCACTGCGACAGTTTCTGTGAAGAATTTATCCTCTTGCATCTAATTATATTGCATATAATAACAAACCTCAAACTTAATCATTATTGGATAACATCACTAAACCATAGCAGTTATTTATGTCTTGCACATGCTTTACTTTTCATAGGTGTTTCAGAATTATATTATTTCCTATAGACGTTAAAAAATTTATAGCCACTTGGCATAGCTCAAGTGATAAGGGTAGGGTCTAGGTTCGAGCCATAGTGTTCCCCTTGTCCCCCCCCCCCCCCCCCCCCAAAAAAAAAATAATAATAATAATTTATAGTGTAAACTGAGAAAATGTTTTATTCTAGCATCAGTTTAGATTAATGTTGCTACTTAGCATTCTAATATTGTTTCCTAACTTCCCTTGGAAAACATTTATCCCTTTTGAATTACATTATTTTACTTTTGCTCAAGTTTATTAACTTGCTAATGAGTTTGTAGTGCTGCAGTGATTATTAGATAAAGTTTCTGCTTTGGCCTACACTTTTCATGTTTGCCACATGGATTAGGCATTAGTTGGCTTTAAGATATAGTTGAATGCTAAACTGATGTTTATTTTTGTGGGTATGCATGTAGACTATTCATGGGTGGGAGACAGACAAACCTTGGCTGCCAAAGGACAGAGTAGATGAGGTGTTTGTTCACATTTAAAATTCTCTTTGTGATATTTTCTATGTATCTGCTTATGCTTGTGGCAAAAACTTACAAACGTTTTGCTTTTCAGCTGTCAGTCAATGCGGACAAGTTCAAGACTTGGTTGGATGAGAAGGAGGCTCAGCAGAAGAAGTAAGTTATTGCTATTAGTATGATGCTAAAAGTCATTTTTATAGCATTTTGAGATGTAGGATCTTCCTAATGAACATTAGTTAACTTCTTTATTTGTTTTTTTTAGTATATGCATGATAGGATAAAATCACTCACCTCTTTAAGTTGCATTCTAAATTCCAACCTGCCCATTTACCCATTTTTATGGGCCAAGGCCCAACTTGCCTAGGTTTTTTTTTATTATTTTCAAACTGTTTGCACTAAAAAAATGTAAGCTCTTCAAAACATTACTTAAAAAAAATTTGTGGCCATTTTATCATTGAATATTTGCTTTTTTGTATCTTGAGAGGTAATCGATAAATTTTTAATCACATGCTCCATCCGAATAAAACATGCATTTCCTGTCTCCTATCAGGATTCTCTGCTTTACTCCTACTTTCTAATCTTGTTCTTACATGTTCCACTTAATGACTTTTATGCTAACTATGTCCCTAGGACATCTGAATTCAGCACACCTGTTTTCACATCCGAAGAAGTGTTCAAGAAGGTACTCAGTTTACAAGACAAGGTATGGCTGCGAGCATCAAGAGAATTGATTAATAATTGAAATGCTCATAACTTGTGTTTAATATATGCTATTTGTTTAGGCTGCAAGCATCAAGAGAATCCCCAAGCCAAAGCCTAAAGTTGAGAAGCCTGTAAAGAATGAAACTGAGACAAATTCCAAGAATGCTGAAAATTCTTACTCGACTCCTGAGAATGATAACTCTCAAAATGACAAACCAGCTGGGGACTCAGATAGCTCAACCAGTGAAGAAGTTGGCTTGGAAAGCTCAATCAATGAAGAAGTTAATGTAGAGTCAGAACCCCACGACGAGTTATAATCAGTTGACACAACAAGCGAGACCCTTTAACTAATTATCACCCTTCTGACTTAGTAAGTAGAGACCAGGCATTCCAGTAAATTTACTCTATGGAAGAAATCATAGTGGTATTGCCATACTTTACTGCTGTTGAGATTAATGGATGGTGTCTGGTGGTTGAAACACCGTTTTGCTGAAGGGTTCTTAGCTCCCTCCATCAGCGGTGATTATGCTTCCCTGAAAGGTGAGTATTTCTTGGTAGTCTAGCTTGCCCCATGGAGTTTATGAGACAGTACAGTGTTAGAGCATTTTGTTATATCCTTTATAATGAGAATTGATAGATTCTTCTCAAGAAAAAAAACACAAGAACCAATCTTCTTGGGATTAAGTTTGTATTTTTTCCAAATTGGGTGATAAAATGGTTTGACTTTAACACCCTTTTTTATGCCAAATGTTTTATGTCAAACTTTGGTGAATGATATGGTTCTGTCGCCGTTTTTCGTTTCTTTTTGGATCAATCTCCTTGGGATTAAGTTATATTTTCCGTCAACTGCTTAGAGTGTTGGTAGAGTATTTATGTTGGTATAATCTCTTCAAAAGAATGTTTTCAAAATCAGTCTCCAGAATAGTTCTAATTGAGCATGACCTTTTTGTCAACTTAGGTTCTGTTTGATAAATTGAAAAATATGTGTTGAAAAATTAAGTATTGAATTTTTAATACTGAATTTGATGTACCGAATTTGAATTATAAAAATTATTTGATTTTTTTTTTTTTGAAAATTAAATACTGGATATAAATATATTGTTTGATGACTATAGAATATTAAAATTTGAAAACTCATCATTTTACATTTTTAGCTTTATTTTCATTATAGATAATGGAGTAGTATTTTTAGGGGATAATAGTTAAAAGAAATTTTTACTGAATGGTTTTTGCTTTAACTGATAAATAGGTCTTTATTTACTTATTTTATTCAACATATTTTGGTTGAAAAAGTTTAATTAAGTGGATTTCAAAATATATTATCAATCGCATTAAAAAATTAAATCGTTAAAAATGTTTGTTTTCAATGCATTATCAAACGAACCCTTAGAATATAGTAAATGGTTTCCTTTTGCTTAACTATTGGGATTTTTGGTTAATGAATATATAATTTTTGAAAAATTAAATTTGTCTTCTGAATTTAAAGTAAAAAGAAGTAAATTTAATCAATTCTAGTTGAAGATTTTGTGTATATGTATTCTTTGTATTCGTTTTACTTTGGATAAGTAAAGAGCCGATTAATTGGTTGTGATAGATAAATTTTTTGAAGATGTTTGGTATTTAAATTTAAATAAAATACATCTTTTAAGTTTCAAATTTTTATTATAATTTAATCTTGATGTTTAGAGGTTTTAATATTTAAATATTTTAAATTTAAGCACTAATATATATATATATATATAATGACATAATTTTAAGTATTATTTTATGTGATCATCTAAAGAAATTATCCACGTAAACAGATACATAAACAAAATTTATGGGCAATTTTATATTTTATAGTATATATATATACATGTGTGTGTGTGGGGTATGATTTATTTTAATAATATTAAATATTTAGTAAAAAGCAAAGTTAATAATTTTCACAAAAATTTCAATTCTGTCACTTGTACATTTTTTTTATACAAGATGTTTTATTTTCAGGCATAACTATAATTAAGTTATCACGAAATAGAATCCATAAGATCAAAATTCGTCCATTTAACACTGTATGTATTATTAAATATCAAACTATCACAAGCATATTTATTAAAAAATTATTTTAACATATTATCTACAATTATTATTTATAATTAGATTTAATATTTGATTCACTTTAAGTATAATTTTTGTAAGTATATAAAATTAAAAAAATTGACATATATGTTTTTAAATTTTTAAAAATCAAACTATGCCAACAGTTCTTGTATTATGTTGAAATTTGAAGTTTAATTCATCTATTGTAATTCATACAAATGTAATTTTTATATTATTTGATTTGATCATTTTAATTTAATTAATAATTTTGTCTAATTTTTATTGTTAAAAAAGTTGACTTAATTGTTGACCTCCTAATGATGTGGTCATCGGCTTTACTTGCAAAATAATTCGATATGCCAACAATCTTTGTATGGAAGTTTAAAATTTAATTCCTTAATTGTAATTTAAATAAATGTAATTTTTATATTATTTTGATTTAATATTTTTAATTTAATCATTAATTTTATTTAATTTTTATGCTAAAAATATTAATGTGATCATTAAACTTAAAATGGGCTATTGACTTTGGTTATGTGTCATTTCAATTAATGAATATTTGGATTGATGCTCACATGGATTAAATGACATCTACAGGACTTGACTTTTAATCTATGCGAGATTAAAAAATTTTTTTCTTCAAAAAAATCTTAACATTCAAATTTTATTTTGCTAACGTTAATAACAGATAAAAAAGAAAAGAAAAATAACTCTAAAAATGAAAAAATGAACACGACACCAAAATCCCAAATCACTATCACTTGGTCCCCAGATCTGAAATTTCTACCACTCAGCTTTAATCATCACTTTCTCGTAAGGGTAAACCTAAGTTGTCCAAATAACTCCCTTTCTCTACTTGAGTAAACCCAAGTTATCTGAACATCTTCTTTCCTCGTTAGTGGCGGTTTCAGGCAAGAATCGACACCTTAAACAATTACAATTAAGGTTTGAGTTGTAGGGATTTTGGATTCGGGGACTGAGTGCTAGGGACTTGAGATTTGGTTTTTTTTTTTTCCTCATTTTTAGAATTGTTTTTCTTTCTTTTTTAGTTATTAAATTTTAACAAAATAAAATTTGATTATTAAGGTTTAAAATTAAAAAAAGAAATAAAAAATTTAAATGAATTAAAAGGGAGATCATGCTATATATCATTTAATTCACATTAGCATTAATTTGAATATCACTTAAGCAAAGTTAATGACCATATCATTAAGTCAATGATCATGTTAACATTTTTAACAATAAAAATTAGATGGAGTTAATGATTAAATTAAAATCATTAGGTTAAAATAGTACAACAACTATAAATTACAATAAAAAGAGATTAAATTTTAAAATTTGATAGAGTTTAGAGATTGTTTGCATTATTTGATCAATATTCACAAATCAAAATGCCTGATAAACAAAGTTAACGATCACATTTTTATATTAATGATTACATCAATATTTTTAACAATAAAAATTAGATTGATTTAGTAATTAGATTAAAATTATCAAATTCAAATAATATGAAAACTATATTTATATTAATTATAATATATAAATTAAATTTTAAATTTTGATAAAATATAAAGATTGTTGACATAATTTAATCTTTTTTAAATATACCATGAGGGGTATTTATCATTCTATTTACTTGAAAATTTTTAAAACTCCAATGACGATGGTCGAAATAATTTCTTCTATAATTAGTTCATTACAATTTAAAATTATATAAGATCCAACATAAAATCTATATCTATAAGTAATAAAGCGTTACATAATTTTATTATTATAATTAGGCAATTATAAAATTATAATAAAAATTATTAAAAAAATGCTTATTAAATTACCAACATCTAAACATTGGGCTTGATGTATGATTCTTGCTCAAACTAGATTCAAATTTCATTTCTCAAATAAAAAAAAAAATCAAATTACCATGTATAACTAAATTGTATCCCATTATATCTTTTTTTTTAAATCCATAGTAATTTAAACTTAATAACTTATAATTGTCCTTGTAAGAAATTATAATTTATTTTTGAGTTTAATTATTAATATTAAAAATTAAATCTTCGATACATTTTTTTTAATAAAATCAAATTTAAAAGCTGATTTGTGCCTGTCCACAGTTTATTTTATTTTTAGGGAATGACAGGAACAGTCATCCCAAGCACCGCCCTTCAGCACTTTACATTTGATGAAGCCACGTCATGCAACATTCATAACCAGTTACTTTCTATTGCAAGTTGGACATCTTCACGTTGGAACAAGACAAAAAATCTAACTGTGAGAAGACAAGGACCAACTATTCTTATCCCAGTGCCCACAAAAACATTCCGCATGGTGATGGAACCCAAAATAATGGATTTCAGCTATTACTTTCATTTCCATTTAAAATAATTATTTTTTTTTATTTTCGATTCAATATTTTTATTTAAATAAATAAGAGATAACAAATTCTAATAAAAATTGGTTGAATTGATAAGTTTTAAATATTTTATTTGTAAAGTTTATATTTGAATATCGTTATTAATAATTTCTTGTGATTTATAAATTCAATATAATTTTTTAAAAATTTTTTAATATATCTTAAATTTTTATATAACAAAAAAAATAAGATAATAAATATTAAGATTGCATATAATTATTAATTTTTATTGGCCAACACATTTGATATGTGGTTTTATTTTTGTTTTAAGTATGGATTTCGTTGGATTGTGATTAAATTTCTTACTTTAAATCTTTAATTAATGAAATATATTAAAAATATTGAATTGACAAAATAAGTTTCTTAGCCATTTTTGTTTTAAAAAGAGTGAACAGAAAAGAGATAAATTAATACTATATTTAATTTTCTGTATAATAAAAATTTAAAAAATATTAAAAATAAAATTAATTATAAAAAATATTAAATTAAAAGCATTACAAAAAAACTTATGACGATACATTTTTTAACATAGCTAAGGGTATTTTAATCACAAACCATTTGAAACAAAATAAGTTAAATATCACCGCACAAAAATAATGAATTGTCTGACAATTGACTACCTAAACAAGTAGCTTTAAGTTCCAAAAATTGCATTACGTGGCTTCGTTAAATGTGGAGTGCTGAAGTGTGGTGCTTGAGACGACTGTCCCTAGAATTCCCCACATAGATTTGTCCTAGTCTATAAATCAGGAAGGTGTTCTAAATACATGTCAACATATGCTTTATACAAACTCATATTTTGGTTACAAAAATATCCTTAAGTGAAATGTCATATTTATCATTTAGTAAATGATAAATTTAATCTTATTGCACTCTCTTTTAGATTTTTTTCTAATTCTCCTTTTTTTCTCATATTTTTTCTTCTCACCGTAAGAACCCTAAACTAAATAGCAGTAAAACCATAAATCTATTATATAATTATTAAATTTTACGAAAATATATAACTAAATGGGATACAAAAGTTAGGGTGAAGAGGATAAATAGTAGCTCAAAAAGATAAATCGTTTAAGGTACATTTGACACATAGAATTAGTTTAAAGATATAATACTAATTATTTTATCATATGTTGTTATACATTTAAATAAAAGAATTGAATTATTGAAAGGATTATATATCTTATGCCAATGAGGTAACTCTATCATTTCGAAAAATAGGGAATTGTTATCAATTTATAGGATTAGATAATTTATCAAAATTATTAAATAATAAATTTTTTATTTTACCCTTAAATTTAAAATCTTAAATTTTAAATTATCAAATATTTGAAAATATTCTCCACTTTACAATTTTTTTTTGATCCATCGATGGAGAAAACCCATTTGTTCTCCATGAAAAAATGCTCTATGTTTCTTAAACTTTTCAACCCTAGAACGATTCTTTTCATCTTTTTCCATCAATTTTCCTTTTAGATTTCTCACTATCA